GAACTTAGCCTATACCTCCCTGCTCTAAATGCAGGATGAGATGGCACTGGCTGATTTGGCTGCTATATCACATCACTGACTCTCTGAGCTTGCATTTCACTGAAAACACCAGATCTTTTTCAGACAAACTCCTGTCTAGTCCCAGCTCCCACATCTTATGCTAATGCAGTTGACTTTTTTTTATAAGAAATATAAGGGGCAGCGAGGTAGCACAGTGGACAGAACACTGGGCCTGGAGTCAGGAAGACCTGAGTTCAAATCCAGCCTCAGACTGGACACTTGACACTTACTAGCTGTGTGACCCTGGGCAAGTCACCTAACCCCAATTGCCTAACTGGAAAAAAAAAAGTCTAAGACTTTAGATTTATCACTATTAAACCTCATCTCACTCAACTTGGCCCAAACTTCTACCCTGTCAAAATCATTTTTGATTCTGACTCCACCACCTAACACTGTCAGGCACTTGGGAAATGCATATGGACTGACGAATCTGGTATATTAGCTGGGCCACCGCGCCCTCCCTGCCATTATTAAATGGGAGTTGTTAATATCACCACTTATAGTTCCCTTCCAGCTCAAACATTCTATGATTCTAAGACTCGCTTCACAATGGTGTTAGGAGGAAAAAGTCGCGTCAACTTTAAAGTTCTCCTGAACATGAACTATTTATTAATTCTCTCAGTCTCAACCCTTGAGTCTTTCCACCTAAATCACTCTGAACCATGGGTGGGGAACCTGCTCTGAACCAATCTAGAAGCAAGGTGCGGTGGAAAGAGGGCTGGGTTTGGAGTCAGAAGATGTGGGTTCAGCTCCTGGCTCTCCTGTTTACTACTTGTAAGATCCTGGGCAGGCACAGGTACAAAAACATTTTATAGCAGTTCTTTTTGTGGTGGCAAAGAATTGGAAATTGAGGGGATGCCCATCAACTGGGGAATGGCTGAACAAATTGTGGTATATGAATGTAATGGAGTACTATTGTGCTATAAAAAAATGATGAGCAGGCAGACTTCAGAAAAACCTGGAAAGACTACATGAACTGATGCTGAGTGAAGTGAGTAGAACCAAGAGAACAGTGTACACAGTAATAGCAACATTTTGTAATGATCAGCTTTGATAGACTTAGCTCTTCTCAGCAATGCAAGGATCTAAGACAATTCCAAAAGACTCCTGATGGAAAAGGCTATCTACATCCAGAGAAAGAACTATGGAGTCTGAATGCAGATCAAAGCATACTTTTTTTTTTTCTCTCTCTCTCTCTCTCTTTTGTTTTTTGCTTGTTCTTTCTCAAGGTTTTTCTTTGGTTCTTCCTTTGGTTCTAATTCTTCTTTACAACATGACTAATGTGGAAATATGTTTAATATGACTGTACCTGTACAGCCTGTAACAGACTGCAAGCCATCTTGGGAAGGGGAAGGAGGGGGAGAAAATTTAAAACTCAAAATCTTATAAAAATGAATGTTGAAAACTAGAAATAAATAAATATTAAGAAAAAAAAAAAAAGAACCTGGGCAGGATCCCCTCACTCTCTTAACTCTCTAGTCTGGCTTCCTATCTCATTATTTAACCAAAACTGCTCTCTGCAATGATCTCTTAGATGCCAAATCCAATGGCCTTTTCTCAGTCTTCATTCTCCTTGCCCTGTCTAAAGTCTTTGACACTGCTGATCATCCTCCCCTCCTGGGCACTGTCTTCTCTCGAGGTTTTCGGAATACCCTCTCTGCTGGTCTCTTCTTTCTTCTCCTTTGTTGGCTCTTCATCCAGGTCACGCCCTCTAACAGCAGATGGCCCAGAGGGCTCTGTCCTGGACCTCTTTCTCTTGTCTCTCTTTACTGTTTCACTTGGCGATCTTATCACCTTCTATAGCCTCAATTGTTATCTCCATGCAGATGATTTTCAAATCTACTTATTCTGCACTACCACTCTGCTGATCTACAATCTTGCATCTCAAACTGCCCATTATAAATCTTGAACTGGATATTCTGTAGACATCTTAAACTCAACATGCCCAAAACTGAAGTCATTATCTTTCCCTCTAAACCTTTCCCCCTTCCTAACTTTTCTATTACTGTTGAGGATACCACTATCCTCCCAATCACCCAGGCTTGAAATCGAGGTTCCATCCTTCAATCTTCACTCTTTCTTACCCCTCATATCTAATCTGTTGCCAAAGCCTGTCAATTTTACATTCATAACATCTCTCCAACACGCAGCCCGTTCTCCTTCTCTCCTCTGACAATGCCATCATCCTCATTCAGGCCCTCATCACTTCATGCTTCGACTACTGCACCAGACTGCTGGTTGTCCCTCATGCCTGGAAAGCTCTCCCTCCTCATCTCTGCCTCCTGGCTTCCTTCAAGTCCCAGCTAAAACCTCATTTTTTTACAGGAAGCCTTCCCCACTCCCTCTTAATTCTAGTGCCTTCCCTCTACTGATTATTTCCAATTTCTCTGTATATAGCTTGTTTGCACGTGAACTCTGGGGGAACAAGGATCCTTCTCTCACTGTTCTTTGTATCCCCATCACATAGTAGACATTTAATAAACGTCTGCTAACTAAATGAATGATTAATAAGAGCTTATATTTATCAATGTATCTATTATCTATCACGAAGTTCTCAAAACATTTCCCTGTTGTGTCACTGGATGCTGGCACAATCACTGTGAGGTAGCCTCTACAGACAGATACCGTAATTCTCACCCGTAAAATAAGGAATCTACAATTCATCAAGTCCATGTGAGCTAATTCACAAAACCATGTTTCAGAGCTGGGATTCACACCCAGATCTCTCCAATGCCAAGAGCTGTTCTCTCTCCACTACATCATGTTGTTGCCTCACTGTGGTATCCCAGCACCTGGGACACCTAGGCCCACTGGATCCTGATCAGGCCACAGGTGGCCCCCAGAACAGGGCCACCCACTTCTAGAGCAGTTCTCTCTCTCCCTAAACCAGTCCGGTCTGCTGTCTGTGCATCCCACATTTTCCCACCTATTCAAGCCAAGGCCTTCTTTTTGGAAGCTGAACTACAAAGACAAACAAAAGAAAACAAGCCTTGCCATTAGGGACCTTACAGGAAATGCAATATGTACTTAGATTAGGAAATACAGGCACCAACAAATGGAGACATCAGGAAAGGCTGGTGAGATGGTATCTGAACTGAGCCTTTAAGGAAATTAAAGATTCTGAGAGATAGAGATGAGGAATGAGCCCATTCCACATATGCAGGACAGCCTGAGCAAGGGCAGGGAAAAGGGAAATCGAATGCCAAATTTGGGGAACAGCAATTAAAAATTAAGACAGTTTCATTGGAACAAAAACTACGTAAAACTGAAAGTGAAATAAACTGCAGGTTGGCTGAGACCAGATTACGGAGAGCTTTAATAGCCAGGTGAGGAGTATGTAATTCATTTTAGAGATAAAAGGATGCCACAGAAGATCTTAGGGGAGAACATGGGGGAGGGACCTTGGGAATATTATTTAGGCAGCTGAATGGTGGCTAGAACAGAGTGCAGAGACTGGAGGCAGGAAGACTAATTAGGAGACTAACAGTCAGAATTCATATAGTGCTTTGCAAATATCTTACTTGAGTCTCACAACAACCCTGGAAACTAGATGCTTTTATCTTCATTTTACAAATGAAGAAACCAGAGCAGACAAAGGTCTGTCTGGGACAGAGAGGTCAAGAGAATTGCCCAAAATCATATAGCTATTAAGTGTGTGAGGCTGGATTTGAACTCAAGTCTTCCTGACTACCAGATCAGGGTTCTATCCACTTCGTCACCTAGTTGCCTCAAAGTACTAGAGAAAATATTACATTCAACAATTTCTCTCATGTGAAGATTGAATTATGTTTTTCCTTCTTTCTAGTTTAAAGATTATGTTAATAACCTTTGGAATAAGAGTACAGTTTTCAAAAAGAAGCATCAACTAGGTGAATGAATTTAGATTTCTGCCGGACAGAGAAACTTTTAAAGGAAGGTCATGAGAACATTCTGCACCAGCTAGTAACACGATGTCATTTAAGTCACTGTCAATATATGTGCAAGAAAACTCATGAATCTGTACCTTTACGTTATATTCAGCATTTTTCCCTAGTAAAACTAGAAAATTAATTATATGTTTAACTGCAAAGGAAAAAGCAGCTGAGCTTTCGAATTTATTTTGCAGCGCATTAGTTTTGCCTTATGTTCTAGACAAGAGGCATTGGGGTGGCACTGGCTACATGACCACCAGGAGAAAAAAAGAGAGATGTTGTCGAAATTCAATCTACAAGACTTGGAAACTAAACAGATATGGGAGTGAGAGACAAAAAGCAACACAACTGAGGTTCCAAACTCCTTCCCAACAGTCTTCCCTGCACCGCCCCACCCCCGCCCCCAGCGTGCTTCAGTCTAGACTCATTCCAAGGAGTCCAGAGACCTGCACCCAGTCCTGCCCCACCCCCTATCCCAAACTCTGGCCCCCACACCTCAGCCGTGCTCCTTCCTTGAGCCCCACCTCCACTCCCAGTTACACCCATGGACCCGCCCCTTATCCCGGTCACGTCCCATTTCCAGTGCTCCACCCCCTCTCAGCTCAGACTACCTGACAACCCTAACCCCACCGAGCGCCCCTAACCCGGACCCCGAACACCGCCCCTGGGCGCGCGCACGCGCGTCCAAATCCCACCAGCCCACCTCCTGAGGCCCCGCCCTCTTAGGCACGCACTCCCTCACCCCTCCCCTTTCCCAGCCCAGGTGCGCACTGGCCCCGCCCCCTCACTCTGCCCCTCTTAGCCCCACCCCTTCAGGCCCTCACCCTCTCCCAATTCAGATGTTCCTGAGTTCCCGCCCCTTCAGGCGCGCACCTCCTAACCCCGCCCCCATCAGCTGAGCTCGCCTCTCCTGGCCCGAACACTCCCCTAGCCACACCCCCTCAGGTGCGCGCCCCTGACCCCGCCCCCAGGGTCCTTCCCCCCCATTCCCCTCCCCCCACCGGACCTTTCACGCTGGGCCGCACTCACGGGTTGTTGTTGCTCATAGTGAGGAGGAGGCTGCTGAGGAGCCGCACGTTGGAGTGCAGTCCCGCGGCCGCCATGTCCCGCACGTGGTCGATCACGTTCATCTTTGCTTTCCCGGAGGGGCCACGAGGACCCGGCGTCGGCCGAGGCGGGGACGGACACCGGCTGACTCTGGGGGGAGGGGAAGGGAGGGCAGCGGCGACGAGCCCGGCGAGCGGCACCTCAGCGAAGGCGCCAAAATGGCCGCCGGCCCGGGGACCTCATCAGGCCCCCTCGCTGAAACGGGAGGGAGGCTAAAGCGATGCCTGTGTGGAAAAAAAAAATTCTCTTCCGGGAGCGCTGTTACAACCTATTACGTATAAGGAAGAGGAGATACTTGGTGCCTGCAGCGGAAGTTAGCCAAATAAGATGTATTCGTGTAATTTTCTGTTCCGTCAGAAGAAGACAAATTCACTCTAAAGTCTCAGGAACTCCCAGAGCAAATTAAATATTTTCGTCAGGCGCGTCTAAGGCAACCCTAACTGTCAGGGCTAACTGCGCTTGCGCGAGTCATTGTTCCACATGGTTTCCACCCTCTCCTTCTCTGTCCGGCTGCTGCTCTGAATCCTGGCCTCAGTTGTGTGTCCCCAGCATCTCCTAACCCTCACTCGTCCATCGAGTACCTAGGTTCCTAGTGGTTCAGTGTAGTCAGGAAGACCTGAGTTCCAATCCGACCTCTGACACTTGCTTAGCTGTGTTACCTTGGGGAACGTCACTTTCTGCCTCAGTTGCCTCATTTGTAGTATCAGGCTAGAATTCCTTAGAGACGGAACTTGTACTCAGGTATTCCTGACTCTATCCAATGTACCGCACTGCCCCCTCCCCCCATGCCTGCACATTCCATGAAACCTGTCACTATCCTCCCATATGTCCACCACAGGAGATCCACCCAACCAGCTGTGGTTCTGTTGACATGGTGTGAATATTAAATGGAACACATGAGCTGTCTTTGCTCATCCTTCAAGCTTCTCTGAATGCCCCATCTTTTTGTCCCCCCACGAACGTGGGCTTGTTAGGACACTGGGCAGAAATCTGCCTCTCTAATTTTTACCCAATGTTCCTGGTTCTGGCCTCCGGGGCCAAACAACAAGGCTAAGCCTTCTTCCACGTGACCACCCTGCAAGTTTTTGAGGACAGCTCTCAGGTCCCCACTGAGAAGTTTCTCTTTTCCATTCCTACTTCCATCAAACAGTCTTCCTAGGATGTAGTCTACAATCCTCTTGTGCTTCTCTTTTAGACTCACTCCTGATTAGTGAATAGAGCTCTGGCCCTGGAGTCAGGAGGACCTGAATTACAATGTAGTCTCAGACACTTGACACTAGCTGTGTGACCCTGGTCAAGTCACTTAACTCCGATTGCCTCACCAAAAAGAAAGAAAGAAATAGAATCATTCTTGATTGTCACTGTACACCCTAAAATGTGGTGCTCTGTGCTGAACATAACACTCCAGCCGTTGCTTGATGAAGAATAAAATGAGATCATATTTGTAAAGCATTTTACGAACCTTAAGGAACTATAGAAATACCACCTATTATTATTATTATACCTCTCAATGCAATCTAAAATCAGACTTGTTCAACTAAAAAGAGCCATTTTCTTTAAATGAATTATCATTTAGCCATGCCTCCCCCCTCCAAAAAAAAAACCCTAAATTTTTACTGTTGATTTGTCGAATCCTCGGACAATTTATAAGGTTCAGCCCACAGTTCTAGCCTGTTGAGATCTCTGGAAACCTTTGTCATTAGTTTGTTTTCTCTCTTTCCCAGCTTTGTGTCATCTGTAAATCTGATAAGCATGGCATCATCCCTAAAACTGAGAATTCAAATAGCTTTCACAAGGTCACACAGATAGTGTCACAGCTGGGTCTACAAGTTGAACTATTTGGCATTTAAAGCCCTTTATAAATTGGTCCCCTCCTACCTTTCCAGTCTTCTTGTACCTTACACCTCCCACCATGTACTCTGAGATCCGGTGGCACTGACCTCCTTGTTCCTTGAACTTGACTCTCAGTCTCCACACTCCCAGAAATTTCACTGGCTGTCTCCCACACCTGGAATGCTCTCCCTCTTCATCTCTATCTTGAAGACTCTAACATCCTGCAAGAAGCCTTTTCCAGTCCTCCTTAACCCTACTGCCTTTGCTCTGAGAATATCTCCTGGGTATATCTTGTCTGTACATAGTTGTTTGTCTGCTGTCTCCCCCAGGAGACTGTGAACTGCTTGAGGGTAGGAACTTTCTTTTGCCTTTCTGTGTATCCCTGACATTTAGCACCATACCCGGCACACATTGTCTGACCTTTGTTTTTGAAGAGGACCAGTGACATCATGGGGCAATGTCTTGACTCCTGAGTGAATTGGATTTAAGTGAGGCAGAGTTGCCCAAAGTCCTCAGCCTCACTCTGTCTTCCAGAGTCATTGAAGTCCAGCGGCAGGACAAAAATCAACATGACTGGCGATGGCCCAGGATGCGGTAGATGCCCAAGTTCTAAGTGCTCCACAGCGCCTGCTTCAGCCACCTTAATGGCCTTTGCAACAAATTGTTCTCATCCATCCATTCTGCCAGGGGAAGTTTTCACACACTTGGGGTAGACACCCCCTACTTTACCGACAGGTTTGAGACCCTTTGGTTAGCCTCAACCTGTTTTAGCCTATCTGTCGAGTTGGTTTACCAGGGTGTGGCTTCTGTGCATGCAGCAGCTTCTTGGGGCCACAGGTGAGAGTTGGGTGACAGATGGACACCAAAGGTGGACGAGCAGCCCTCACACCAGAAGTGCTGGTCCTCCCTGACCCCACCTGGACATAGTAAGTCCTTAATAAATGCTTGTTGACTGACTGGGCATCTCCATATGTCCTTTTTAATTCTTGTTTGTGCAATTCATCTTATAATTTAGCCATGCCTTTTGACAGCTCTCCTAAATTGTCTGCATAACGGGGATTTACCAGCTGTAGGATACATCTGAAACTGGTATTTATGTCCTATATTGTTCTTTAACTTTTTAAAAATTCAGAACATTTATTTTAACAAACAGTTGAATCCTCAGGATGATCTTGATGCTACAACAAGTGTTCCTTTGGTTCTAGGTGTTGTCCTCTTATGGAATCCATTCCTGAATTTGTGGGAGTTCATTTTTAGGTGCCTCATTTGACTAGCCCCAGTGGTACTAGGACATCCCTTAGCCTTCGCAGTAATGCTTTGTCTTGCATTTAGCAGGGTTTCCACATTTGTCGCTTTTGACTTCTGAAGATGATGTGCCTCAGAACCATAATAAAAAAATAACAATAGCTAGCATTTATATAGCCCTTTGAGGTTTGCAAAGCACTTTACAAATATGATCTCATTTCATCCTCACAACAACCCTGGGTGTTGGGTGCTATTATTATCCCTATTTTACAGATGAGGAAACTGAGTCAGACAAGTTATATAACTTGCCCAGCTAGTCAGTATCTGAGGCCAAATTTGAACTCAGGTCCTCCCAGCTCCAGGACTGGTGCTCTATCCATTTAGCTACCTGCCCCTGAGGGTGTGTTTTCACAATGTCTCCTAAAACTACCTTCCCAGGCCAAGTAGAACAAATTTAATCTCTCTTTCACTGGACAAGCCTTCAGATACTTGTAGACAGTTATCTGAATACATGCTTATTTATCAATTATTATTTATAAGGTACCCACAGAGCATGTCACATTTAGGATGCCCAAGGAATGGTGGAACATCATAGTGACAGGACTTCTTTGAAAGCCAGAACACCTGGATTAAAAATCCTGCTTCTTATAATCTCTAACTATATCAACATTGCTATATTGGAAAAGTCATAACCCCTCAGGGCCCCAGGGAACTCCCTTAAAAACAACAACAAAACTACAATTTCTCCTCATTAATGAAATTACAGGTCCAAATCAAGAAAAAAAATCCAGAGGAAAAACGTCCCTTCTTTTGAAGAAAACCCTAAAATCTTGAGGCAAATTCCTGCCTCATTCCTTATCATGTTTCCATTAAGGATACCTTCAGTGTGTACATAGACCATTCTTTTGGAGATACCTGAGAAGGAAGCCAAAAGTTTTAGTCCTTGCTGATGTCTTTTTGGTAAAAGTGACATCCGTGATCCAGGGGATGATAGTTCCCATTCATAGAGCCCCTTTCATAGAGTTGACAAATCATCTTTTTCATAGTTTGCAAAGTGATTACTCTGTAGGGTAAATAATGTAAACATCATTCCACCATTTAACAGATGAGGAAACTGGAGCTGTGAGTGGTCTTACCCATAGTCATAGCTACTAAATGTGGAGGGCAGGATTAGAACACGGACTTCATGTCTGATGCCTCTCATCTTTCTCATCTGTATCCCCAGCACTTAGCACAGTGCCTGGTATATAATAGGTGCAAAATAAATACTTCTTTCGACTTGACTTCATGCAGAATTTAGCATCCAGTATACAACACTCTAACAGTTGTAAAACAGAAATGATAGCTCACACTTACCAATAACACTTTGGATATTATACATACATGTATATACACCTGCATATATACACCTGCATATACACACATGCACATATACATATACGCATACATACATACATACGTATACACACATATACACACATACATATATTTGCCCAAATGTAATATATTTGGATATATTATGGTCAAATATATTTGATGGACAGCATTTAACAAGGAGAGATGCTTCCCTTTACTAGTTCCTCCACCCCAACCTTTATACTTATTTCTAAGCTTATTATAATCTGAAAAGAAGGAAAGCTTCTCCCAAGCCAGTTTTATGTTTCCCCCAGATCTGTCTTTTGTACGAAGGGGAAAACAAACCACTTAGAAATGGCATAAAGGGAAACATTACTCACCATTGGTTAAGTGTCTCCTGGCAGTGATGGTCCTCTCTTTAAGTGGCAAAGTAACTTTAGGGCAAACAGAATTTGCCTGGACTCCTCCGTGCATATATTCACTTACCTTCTACAAAGTGATGCTCTCCTTTCGAAGGAAACGCCAACCCAGGCTGGTGCTGCTCCAAACTGTAATTTAACTGGCCAAAAGGGAACATCTTACAGGATCAGTGGGGAGGGGGTGGGTGGATGGGAGGAGTGTTAGGCAGCCAAGGCTAACACAAGTAATTAATAATTAAGGCGTCTATGTTTTAAGTCTACCCCTGACTCAACTTTTTTTTTAAAGCCTTTGTGAATATACTTATAAAACAGATTCAAGATTTTCTAAGACATGGGATGCCAAGTCAGTATAAAGTTAGCATAAATAATAGTATTCTTTTGATATCCTGGCATAACTGAAGAGGTTGGCTGCAACTCCACAACTAAGGAGGGATGATAAGAGCTGTGGCCCAGGGTGATTAAATTTATAGGGCACTGACAGCCCTTGCAGACTGAACTTAGCACCTAGTAATAATCTTAAGAAACAACAACAACAATAATATAGGGCCTGGCCCTTTGACTTCATTAGTGTAATGGGGCTTTGCTGTATGCATGCCACCATGAGAGATGCCAGGAACCTGCTAGTGGGAGAATACATTCTGCATTTATCTCCCATGTGGGTGGGAGCAGCCTTCACTGGCTTTGTAACCTGAAAGGGCTCCATCTTTAACACTTCCAAACTTGCACAGTCTCCCTCAGTCTTTCTGGTGGCTTCCAAAGGGGTGAAGACCCTGTAAGTCACCCAGAGGACCATCACCATGAACTGAGCTTGGGGGCGGGGGGAGCAGGACGTCCTTCGCCTTCCACCTCCTTTCGGGCCTTGTGGCCCTGAGAAATGGGCTTGGGGTTTGGTCTGTTTGATCTGCCCTTGTCAGTTCTAGGAGCCGGCCGAGGAGTCCTCAGGCCTGAGCTCAAACCTGGCTCACCAGGGCAACTTTGGAGGGAGGAGTGCAGGCTGGATGTCGCTGGCAGCCCAGCAAGGAAGCCCTGAAAAGTCAGGGTGCAGAGTGATTCCTCTATAGGGTAAATAATGTAAACATCATTCCACCATTTAACAGATGAGGAAACTGAAGCTGTGAGTGGTCTTACCCATAGTCATAGCTACTAAATGTGGAGGGCAGGATTAGAACACGGACTGAGTCCAAGGGAAACCTGGGATTCAGAACTTGGTGGGACCAGGGCCGGGGTGGAGAACCTGCGGCCTCAAGGTCACATGTGGCCCTCTAGGTCCTCAAGTGGAGCCCTTGACCGAATCCAAACTTGGTTTGTCCTTCAAAGTTTGGATTCAATCAAAGGGCTGCATTTGCGGACCTATAGCCCCTGGACGAGGCTATCTAGGAACGGAATTAAACTGAGAACCTAATCCCCTTCCTGCCCCTCCGCCCCCTTGCATGTTTGTTCTTGCTGGACCAATGAAGTATATTCCTTTGTCAAAGCAAATCTGTTAAGTGGCTAAATGGAACTAGGATGCAGGAGACCCCCTGAAATTGAGGGAACACTATCAGTGTGGGCTTGAGACACCCCCAAACCTCATAAGGGTACCATAGGACCTTGGGAGAGGGTTGAGATGTAACATACCCGGCTCTCAGGAAGTGGGGGCCATGGCAGTCACTGTTAACATTGGTATGGGGAACTTCCACGTGAGCAAATTTTTCTACCGGGGCAGGTAGGTTGGCACCTTCTCTACAACTTCTAGTCTCAGAGAATTGCCTAGAGGACTGAGCAGCTAAGTGACTTGCCCAGGGTCACACAGCCAGTTTGGGTCAAAGGCCAAAGTTGAACCCAGGTCAAAAATAATAAGATAGCCTTTTATTCCTGCTCCTTCCCTGCCTCCCTCCCCCACAACTGAATTAGTCTTTTTTTTTTGGAGGCAATTGGGGTTAAGTGACTTGCACAGGATCACACAGCTAGTAAGTACCTGAGGTGGCATTTGAACTCAGGCCCTGTGCTCTACCCACCGCACCACCTAGCTGCCCCTGAATTAGTCTTTAAACAGTTGATTTCAGGGTATGTGTCCAGACCTTTGCCTACTGTGGAAAAACTGCTGGTTACATTCTTTCACCCTGAGCTAATCCTATCCCATTACACAGTAGTAGTTTGCCTCTTTGGCCTTGCCCTCTCTCTACTCTCACATTTCCAAGGGCCTCCTTGGCATTTCTCCTTATATTTCTTAAAGATTTAGTGTGGTTACAATTCGACTCATCACTTCTATAACAAAAACAGCTCATCCACTCAATTTATTTCTAACAATAGACCCACCACTTTCAATATTACCAAGCCTTAGCATCATGTAAGCTCCTTAAGACTGACTGTAAGCGACTTGAGGGCAGGAACTGATTCTTTTTTTGTCTTTCTGCTTAGCGAAGTATCTAATACACAGTAGGCACTTACTAAATGCTCATTGATTGGTGAGGACAAGCATTTATTAAGTACCTCCTATGTGCTAGGCACTGTGCTATGCACTTTACAAATATCTTATTTGATCTGCTAACCTTGTTGGGCCAGGTGGATACGGCACCCCAGGCGTGGAGTCAGGAAGATTCCTCTTTCTGAGTTCAAATCAGACGCTCATTAGCTGTGTTACTCTGGACGAGTCACTTAAACCTGTTTGACTCAGTTTCCTCATCTGTAAAATGAGCTGGAGAGGGAAATGGCAAACCACTCCAGTATCTTTGCCGAGAAACCCCAGATGAAGAGTCGGACACGACTGAAAAATGACTGAACGACAAAAACCTTATTGGGAAGCAATGTGGCACAGGGGCTGGAGTTGGATTCAGCATCAGGCAAGACCTGGGTTCTAATCCTGCTTCTGACCCTTCCTAGCTTTTCCCTGAGTCAGTCACTTACTCTTAATTCCCTCAGCCCTTGAATAGGGATAATAATACCTATACTCCCTCCTTCATAGGGTTGTTATGAGGAAAATATTCAGCAAACTTTAAAAAGCTGACCAAATGGGAATTGTTGCCTGAAGGCCTGTAGATTGATGCAAAATTTTTGGAGAGCCAGATGGCAATTTATGATATAATTCACAATTCTTACCTTTTGAGTCCACAATCCCATCTCAAGGACTTATCTGAAAGACATCATAAAAAATGAAAAAATGGACCTCTCTGTACAAAATCGACCACAGCTATTATTCGCAGTAGCAACATGTTAGGTGTCCAACAGAGGGAGGATGAATCAGAGACATTATGTTGGTGTTCAGCCTTTTGATGGAGGCTGTCACCCACTTTGGGATGCATTTTCAAGGAACTTCAAGGAGATCTGGTCCCAGTGCGCCAGATGACCATTACCAACGTCAAGCCATCCACTTATCTTCATGGTTTGATGTGCCAGAAACATAGGGGAAAGCTGAGAACTTAGAAGAGAGCGCTGGAAACTTTTGCCCAAGGTCCATACCCTAGAATTTCATCAATTTGTAACCTCAAGGGGGTGCTGCAGAGAGGAAGGTTGACTGGAGGATGGGTCACTTGCTCTTCAAACCTCTTCCCCCACCAGAAAAGACGCTGGAACAGAATCCACTCAGACCATGTTTATCTCCACCCACCAGCTCAGGAGAGGGCCTTCCTTCTCCTATTCCTCCCTAACCAGTCTGGCCAGAGAGGGAGACTTATTGCCTTCAGGGCAATACACCTGGCTCTCCCCTCCCTTCCCTCTTCCTTGAGCCAGAGTTGGAGATTTTTTTCAGCCCCACCCAGTTACAGCAATCAACAGATTCACTTTCGTACAGAAATAATGGCTCTAGATTCACATAGAATTCTCTCTCTGGTTTTGGGGGTGTTTAAAGGATTATTAATAGAATATAAAATGCACTAACATTTCCAGTTAAAGAAGAGATTTCTTTCCTGTAACCATTGGCCAGAGATTAAAATTTTTACCCTAAACTCAGAAGAAAACTTCTTAGTCAGTCTTCTTCCATGAATCCAGAGGAGCCAAAGCTTATCCCGCAGTGGCATCTTCTGACTGCAACCAAAATACACACAAGTAAATGCATATGTTTGGGTTGACCACAGATGCTTTAATGTGCAGAGAAAACAGGAACCAAAGAATGGAACACTTAGGATAGAACAGGGCAGCTAGGTGGTCCTGTAGTGCATAGAGCACTGGCCTTGGAGCCAGGAAGACTCATCTTCATGAGTTCAAATGCAGCCTCAGATACTTACTAGATACTATACTTTGTGACCCTGGGCAAGTCACTTAACCCTGTTTGCCTCAGTTCCTCATCTGTAAAATGAGCTGGAGAAGGAAATGGCAAGCCACTCTAGCATCCTTGCCAAGAAAACCCCAAATGGGGTCATGAGGAGTGGGCACAACTGAAAAGATAACTGAACTGAACTGAGGACAGAACACAAGAACATGGAGCCCCTAATGGGCAAGGAGAACTAAAGAGAAGGTTGGAAGGAGGGACTGAAGGATCATGGAAGGCAGAAGGACTGCTCCAGGAGCCCAGGAACCCTGAGCCTTCTGCAGAGGAAAGGGCTAAAGGGTGCAGATGTTCAACCCAGTGCAAAGTGATGGGCACTGCTACTCCAAATTTAATATAACCATGAGCAGTTGCAACCCAGTGGGATCTACTTAAGGAGTGATCTGCCTGGATTAACCTGCCAGTTTCCCTGGCTGTTCAGCTACTGGGACCTAGGGAATTTACCCTCTTTCCATTTCCTCCCCCTTGCCTGCTTCATCACTGCCTGGATAATTGGCATCCCTTGCCCTGATGAGTTTCCTGCTCTCTTTGGGTTTTATTTGCTAGATATATTTTTATAATGCATTGTTTCCAGATAAAGAGAAGCTGATTTTTAGCAAATTCCAAACTGGTTTTTACTATAAAAGGGTGGACTGCAATGGAGAGGGGGGAAAAGCCAATACACTCCTCTGCCCCAAGGTACCTTCAAGCAAACATGGCACCACCCCCACATCACCTGCTGCTCATTTTCTCCCCAAGTTCAAAAAGAAAAGTTCTAGGATATGATCTGACAGATAAACAGAGAATTGTTTTCTACTCCAGGGGAAAAGTAGGTGGGACAGGATGTGATGGACCAGTTCACAGGTCTTATGGATGCCTTGATCTGTCTGGTAATCCTCCTTATTTGCACCCACGTCTGCTTTGCCTTGTTCTTGCCTATAGCTTGTCAACACCACAAGTGTCACCTAACTTCCTTATCTCCATTATCCTTTGTTCCTCACCTCCTCACAAGGCCTGGCAAACAGGAACAGGGCCCAGACAACATGGCTGCTGGCCAATATGGGCTCTCCTACTTGTGTTCCTTCTCCCTCCTCAGTCCTTCATCTCACCACTCAGAATTCTTTGCTTAAGTCCCTTCAAGGTCAAAAGTCATTGAAATTTGGGGGATTCTGGGTAATGCTTGCCTGCCCACAAGATAATTGGACCCACTAGGTTCCCCCCATGTCATTGACTCTAGAGGATGGACAGTATGCCCAGAGAAAAGGTCTACACAAGAAATTAGGGAAATACTTTTATTAAGTCTTGCAAAATAATAACAGAACCGGAATAGCATATTCATTGACCACACACACACACACACACACACACACACACACACACACACACACAC